CAAATGAAAACACATTCAGACCAGGACTCAGACTCAAACTTGTGAATGCCACGTGTTGTGACTTTTTGCAAAGAGAGGACCACTGTTTAAAGGGTTAAACCAAACAAATGCTAGTCTCCTTGTCTTCACACAGCACGGGAGACTAGATTGCTTAAAGGTGAAACGCATTTGGTCTCTGGTCTCTGCTAATTACAAACACGGTTTTCATTTCTTGACTGTCCAGCGGAGGGCAGCATGGTCTTACCAGGCAGGAGCCGTACCTCAGCGGGCTTCTAGCATCTCTGACTCACTAAATACCACTTTTACCTTCACTGCTGACAAGAAAATGTTCTCCCGGATCCTCCAAGTTGCCTCTGTGTGCAGTCCTGCTTTACTCCCCTAATTCTTCATTAAGCCTATATCATAGTATGCTCTCGTCATAAAGCCTGATAAAATTGATAGCAACAGAAATCCAGCTCCTGGGCACCTGTGGGGGGGGGGGGTTGCTGGGAAGCTGAGGAAAGGTGAGTTGGAACCAGGGTAGTACCTGCCACCAACACCATTGCCAGGCTGCCAGGACAATGAGAGGCACCCCAGAAGCGGCAGAACCCAAGAAAGCCTGGGGCAAGATATCAGAGGCTCAGGGAGCAGCTTCTCAAAGTTGGCTGCATTGCCCTCTCAGAGGGCTGTGAAATGTTGCCACGTGGACTTGCCAAGGCTTGGGTACTCAGAAGGGATGGGGATGAGGTATTTTTTCAACCCCCCAGGTCACTCTTAAAAGGACACCAGGCTGGGAAGCCAGAGGCAAATACAGATGTCATTGCTGCCACATCGGTTCCCACAGGAAGGACTTGGCTCAGCTCTCATTGGGGGATAATTGTGTGCACCCCACCTCCAGCTTCTCAACTGTGTTATTTTATTATGTACTTAGAAGCAGGGACTCCATATATAGCCCAGGCTGTCATCAGGCTCGTGTCTTCCGGCCCCCAGAGTGCCCTGATTGCAGCTAGAGTGCCACGATGTTCCGCCCAACTTTATAGAGTCACAATTTATAAACACCTTATGTATCATACTCTTGCTGCCTTTGAGAGCTGGCTTGGGTTTTTGCTACACCTGGCGCTTTCTTTGCGATGCCAATTCATAGCATTCAGGTGCCTTTGCAGGTGGAATTAAGACCTGGCCTTATGAAGGTACAGACCTGGTTCCTCCTTGGTCTCCGGAATGTTCCTAGTACTTAAGTGAGGCCTGTTCAATGTGTTGGTAATGTAAGTGGTAAGCAGCGTCGTAATGATGTGCCCCATGCGGTGCCTCCCTGTTCCTGTGTACCAAGGTATACAAGTGTAGAATAAAGGGCATCCTAACCCTAATGGGGAGGGGCTCCTGCAGATGTGGTGCAGGATATAGGAGAAAGCAGGGGAGCCTGTCCCAGCTGCAATGGCGTGGTTTCCGGTCAGGAGGGTGACCCACAGTTCCTCTGGTCATCAGGTTAACGGTGCAGGCGACACAAGGCCGAAAGCCAGGTCCTCAGTCTATCACTTGCTCCAGAAAGGGTGGGCTCTTCCCACCAGCCCCTTTTCTTTGTCTTTGTCAACACCACCTAATGCAGGCTGGGCCCATCAAAGTTTGGCCTGGTGGCTTCAGCCCATTTTGCCGGCCCCATTCTCCTTGGGCTTCTCTCTGTCTGCACACTCAGTCCCCACCCCCGGCTCCTCAGCCATGCTCACAGGGCTTCTGCGGATGGCACTACTTCTGAAGTTCCTGCAGTTTCCATTTCTTCAGTCACTATCTCTAGTTTCATCTAAAGCCGTTGCCAGCGATTGTTCTGGGTTTAACAGGCCAGAGCCCTTTCTGTATTGACCCAGAGGAGTTATGACCTTAGTCTGCCAGCCTTACCAGTCAGCACACCTCTGCAGGAGGGAGGGATGCTAATGGTTCCCTGGTGACAAGCACAGGGCATGCCACCTATCTGCCAAGGACCCCGTATTTTTTCAGGAGTGCCATCTACTTAGTCGATCATTCTTGCTTGGACTTGCTTGGTTCTGATTTTGATTTTGTTCTGAGCCAGCATTTACAGCACCATCCAGTGCTGTCTTTTCAACAGACTGGACCTAAGCATGTGCATTAGACGGAACATGACAGATGGATTCGAGCCGGGAGCTTTCTTAGAGCTATGAAGAAGCAAAGTGCACCTTTGATAGGCCAGTCTCCTCTCTTGGCCAGCTTTCCCCCTTTCTGGGTTTCCAGCCCTTTTGTTAGGGACCCACACAAGTCTTGGGGCTCCTATCTCTTCCCTCCATGATGGTGGTCTCCTTTCTAGGCCAGCACTCTTCCTGAAAAGTCCACGTTTGCACCTGATGTCAGCTTGAGGAAGCCAAGGCACAAAAAAGCCTTCTCTTACCTGGAAAGGGGGGCAGAGAGGAAAAGGTTCCAGACCAGATACATCATTGCAATTGGTGTGATCACACTGCTTCTGTCTTCACAACTGAATAGGGCCAGAGTAGAAGGGTCTCACCAGGCCTGCAATTCCATACTGGATAAAATGTGCTCTGCCACTGACCCCTCAAAGAGAGGGCATTAACTTCCCCTGTTGTCTAAAATGCCTCAAAGGAGACACTTGTAATGCAAGTTAGGTATTCCTGCCCCACGGGTGCAAGCTGGCTTCTGCTTGCCCTGCAGTCACAGGGCCAACCACTCTCCTAAGACAAGCCCGTGCCACAAGTAGCTTCCTCCACCTGTAATGTTCTCCACATCTAGGCCTTCATCTGCTTTCTGGTGATCCCTCTGGTCTTCACTTAGGTGCTGCCCCCTCCAGGAAGTTTGGATTTGGGTCCCTGCTAGAAGCACCCCTCTTCCATACCAGTTAGGGAGGCATGTATGAGATGGTCAGTAAACATTTTTTTTTTAATCAGAAACTTAGTTTATTTTGAATAAACCACTCAACTTTGAGCAGATGACATTGCCTCAACTTTTCTTGGAAGAAAACCAAGGATCTGGTCAGTTCATGAAAACATGTCTTTGCAGGGCCAACACCAAACCAAACCACACCCCTGCCTGACCTTTAAGATGTCCCTGATAATGTTTAGCAAAGGTGCCACTGAGGGCACCAGAGGAAGGTCTCCACAGTGAAGTACCACCATCTGTGGCTGGCAGAGCATCCTGTAGGGCCAACAGTCAAGGTCACAGCCTATGAGTAGGAGCATGGCAGCTATGCAGTTGAGAAAGTACCCAAGGGGGTTTAGGCTGCAGAGCTGCAACTCTGGTCCTGTGTCATGGCAGTGCCACTGATGGAGAGGTCTGTATCAACACAAGAATTCACATGCCACTCCTGGGCCCTGGGGAAGGAATACTCCTTGTTTACAATTAGCCCCCACTGTTATTTTGGGTTCAAGTACTATATACCAAAGTACTTCTCCCAATCCACCCCACCATCTCTCACTTATCAGGACAACATGAAGAGACAAAATCTGAGGAGGTGAAAGAACGTGCAGCTGGCCAAGTACCCCAAGAGTCACAGTTGTCACCATCTTGAACAACTCAATTTTATAGCTTTATGGGGAACGTAGGTAATTGCTAACTGGAGGTGAAAATGTATGACTATCAAAGGATCCACATCGTAATAGTCACAGAGTTCTCTATAGACTCTCCTAGGAGTTCAAGGAGGCCCTGTCAAGTATAGACAGCTCTGCCAGTCTCAGAGGGGAGGCACTGAACAAAGCCATGGAAACCCCAGAGATCACAGATCTAACTTTTCTAAGGCCCACAGGACCAGGTTCAAGATGGGAAGGACACCAGGCAAGCTGCCTGTTCCATTGACCTTGATTGTGCAAGAACTGGTCCTTTCTTCCGGTCAGTCCCTTCTAGTAAAGGAACTGGGACCACAAACCAGGGATTCTCCTGGCTGTAGACTCCCAGACCCTAGAGATGGGGTCCTCTGACAGTTGCAACCAGGCAAGGGGAACACACTCCACCCCAGAGCAGCTTCTGGCCACACTCCAGGTTAACATAAAAGTAACTTGTGCAAACCTAGCTCTTGGTCCACAAAGCCCATGCCCTTGAAACTCTGATGTTCACAAGAACTCAGTAAGACAGTGTCAGACATGGTCACATGTGACCCTAGTACACCACTTGAATACTGGATCAAAAGGAACAACCAAAGAAAAGGAAACTTGTTTAGGGAAGGATTCCTTTCAAAGGTGGACTCTTATCTTTGTGAGACAAAAGGGAGCGCCATGCTGAACCAGTCTCTCAGTCAGGAGGTGCGAAAGCCCACCTCTGCTCTGACACGGGTTCTGGCTTGGTGGCCCAACTAGGGTAAGCCTCACATTCAAGAATAAAAGCAAGTCCTTAGAGAGACCTTGCTCTGCTCTGTGCCCTTGCTGCCCAGCTAAGGCAGGAGGTACAAGACTCCCTGGGCTCCATGCCTGGTATGCAGGCCAACTCAGTTCCCCACCATCTGCCACCCATGCTCTTCCCTTGGGACTCCAGCCACGGCCAAACATGATGCTGGAAAGCAGAGTCCACCCCAGGGACCCTGGCAGTGCAGACATTCTGAGGTTCAGTGGGTGGGCAGCATCAAGTCACATTCTAAGTGAAATAGCTAGAGGGTAAACACTCCAATGCCAATTTATTTTCAAAAGGGCTCTGTGTTATCCTATGGTTTGCCTTTTTTTCTTTGTAATTGTACAACCTTTGAAAATTACATAAGTTGTAATGATCTAATACTATGAATAGCCATTCAGAGAGAAAAAAAAAAGTTCCCTCCCTCCCAACAACCATCCAGGGAGAATTTCAAAGTCCTTACTAGAGACCAGTTCACCATGACCTCTACCCTGGTAGAAACAAAAAGCAAGAAGATGAGGAGAAAACCAATTGACTAAGAGGTGTGTTGCCAGTGTCTCTCAGGAGTGGGGCCCTCGCTGTGGCCTGGGGTTGTGAAAGGCAGAGCCTGCAGCATGCAGTACAATGGCTGGGAGGCCTCACCCCAGCACATCTTCCTCACCCTGGCACATCCGAAGCCCTGCTTAGGTGTTGTGAGAATCCTTCAGCAGGGTTCTTCTCCGCTGCTCTGCTCTGCTCTGTGCATTTGGTTTTCCAAGTCCCCTCTGTCATAGCTGTCTGCACCCTCAACTTTCCACCAAAGGTTTTCGGTCTCAGCCTCCAGCTGAGCCTGCTGGTATTCAAGCAACTTCTTCCTGGGACCAGACTCCAAGTAGTACGCATATGGATAGGTGTATTGCAGGGTGTATCGACACTTGGCCAACAGCTTAGCAGCATTCTGCAGGTACTGCCAGTCCACCCACATTCCCAGATTGTTCCTAACCCTCTCTTGAATCTTCTCATAAGTCTGATGGTATGTGTGTGCCTCTAGCTGCGAACTTTTGCTGTGGTTTTCCCACCTCTCAAAGTAAAACAAGTACTTCTTCAGGGCCTCCTTGGCCTGGGCAAGGCTCTGGTTGACAGTGTCAGGATTCTCCTTGTACCGACTACACTCATAGTACTCACTGCCATGTATCTTCCAGTCTCCTAGACACGTCCAGTAGATGCTGTGCTTACACTTGGAACATTGCATGTGATTGTAGCGTCCGTTCTTCTCAATACGGATGCTGTACTTGCCACAGTCTTTAGTGTGAGCACTAATGTAGTTAGCTGTTTCCGAGTCGTCTGCACACTTGGTGAGCCATTTCCGGGTTGTGGCGCAGTCTGGGGGGGGGGGGTGCAATACATCTGTCGACACTTGAAACAGAAGACCTCGTTGCATTGATTGCACTGTGCTCCGCAAGCTCTAGGCTCCTGTACCGGAATAACCACGGGGCGGTCTGCACCAGGGCACATCTGGAGCTGGTAATGACTCTCCACATAGTTCCTAAAGAGGTAGCGCCTGTACTTGTCTCTTAATTCTTCATTGGGAAGCAAGGGAAATACAAAGTCCTCTGGTGTTCGGAGTGGACAATCCTGAGCCATACATGAGACTCCTACACCAACACCATACTTGGCAAGTACTGAGCAATGCTGCTCCCAGCAGCTTCGGCAAAACTGATGTTGGCAAACCAGAGAGAGCAGCAGGTTTTCCTTCCGTACCAACTTCATACACACTGCACAGTGGTGAGGGGGATGGGCTGTGGGGATGTGTTTTGATGGATTAGGCTGAACTCGACAAGCAGCTGAGCAGACTTAGACCTGCACCTGTCCAGAATCTCTGAGACTTGCCAGTGGAAATTAACTAATGTAAGTTTTGCAACTGAATGAGATACCTTTAAGACAGAGGCTAAGCTGGTCATATGCTCATGAAGGGCACCCTCAGACTCCTTATAGGTCAAGCAAGTGAACTGGTACTCTTCAGGATCAAAAGTTTCAGCCCCCTGCTGCTCCACATCACTGGCTACTCCCACATAGTAGTCCTCTATGTCCCCAGGGTCCTCTTCCTCCTCTTCCTCACAGTTTGGGTCATAGTCCTCTTCATTGCTGTCAGACACCTGGCTGTTCATGTCCATGGACATCTTAACATCCAGCCAAGCTGCAGATCAGGATATCAGTTGCTTTTTCCCCTCCCCTCAAATTTATCACTTTCTCAAATGCATTAGTGTTGTTGTCTTCTGCAATATTTTAACATCTTTCCTGAAGGTATCAATCAAACAGTGTTTCATATGATTTCCATTGGGAGCCGCGGCCCTGCCGCAGAGCCCAGGTCCTCCAGACCAGGTCAAGCTGGGCCAAAAGAGTCTGACTGGAGCGCAGCGGCAGTGGAGGTGGCAGGCGTCAGCAAACATTTTCAAAGTACAGAAATGAAGTCTATATTCAACAGACAGAAGAGGAACCAAGAGCAGGACCTGCTGCAAATCCTTCAGCGTCATGGTGGTGTGCTGTTGGGTGACTTGCGTTGTTTCCTACAATTCACAATGGGCCGAGTCTACACTATCGGGAAAAGATTGCTTATGTACTGCCCCCTGGTGCTCATGCCTGGAACTTCAAGCACCTTGTTCTTAAAATTTTCGACTTCCTTCATTGCAACTTTTGCTGTAGCTATCAGCTCTTAGAGCCCAGGACACAGGATGAAAGTGTGAAGCAGGTGACACTTGTCCTCATTCAAGATCACCCTCTGTAGAATACTCACTGCCTTCTATCATTCATATGAAGAAAAGTAAGTCCTTTAGGCCTTCAGACACAGGAGGACACTTAAAAGGTAGAGTCTCTGATAATGAAATCCTAAGGGTCAGAGGTCAGCTGCAAGGTGGAATCCCATGAAAAGCAATTCCTTTGTGGACAGGAATTATGCAGGAAATGTGACCCAGGTCTTTCAACCACTGTGTGGTTAGCTCTGCTCATGACGAGCTTACTGCTCTTTTATGCATACCTGCAGAATTTCCAGAAGTTTTCTTGCCCATTGCAGGGAATGGCTAGAAAGTGTAAACTTCTATGTTTAAAAAACAATAACAATGAAAGTATGCCACAGAAGGTAGAGATAAAACTCAGTGGTAGAGCACTTGCCTAGCATTTTCAAGACCTTGGGTTTAATCCTAAGTCACATATATACATCCATCCATGTGCACTTGAGTGTGCACTCACACACAAATATGCCACAGGAACTGAGGGGCCATGACTCAGGAGAGCCAAGCCAAGCAATGATTTTACTTGGAAATACTAGTCAGTTAGCAGTCAGCCAGTCAGGCAGTGGTGGCACACACTTTGGATCCCAGTGCTAGGGAAGCAGAGGCAGGTGGATCTCTGAGTTCAAGACAAGCCTGTTCTAGTGAGTTCCAGGACAGCCAGGGATAAACACACAGAAACCCTGTCTTGAAAAACAATGGATAGATAGATAGATAGATAGATAGATAGATAGATAGATAGATAGATAGATAGATAGATAGATGAATAATAAACACAATGAGCAGACAGTGACGTAATCTATCTATATTTGGCACTAAGCTTCCGCAGAGTCCAGCTGACTCTCTTAGCCTGAACAGTGTTTTCCACTTCAGCATCTGAGTCTATTAGACTGCTGTGGCTGTCATTCATACCTAACATGACCTAGGGGGATGACTGTATTTTGGCTCATGGTATCAGAGGTCTCACAGTGCCTGGCTCCACTGCTTCTGGGTCCATGACGACACAGAACTTCAGGGCAGCAGGAGCGAGTAGAGAAGGTATGTCAGGAAGCAGCAAGAAAGAAGAGACAGAACTGGGGAGAACTTCTGAACTCATGCCTTCCTCTCTAGCTCGGCCTCCTTAAGCCTCCTCAAGCCTCCTCAACCTCCCAAAACAGTGTCACCAGCTGGGATCCAAATGTTCAAAACATGAACCTCTGGGGGACATTTCGTTTTCAAGCCATAGCATCATGACATGAAATCCTGAGAGGCGCCTGGCAGCAGCTCGTTCAGAAGTCCTGAGCTTTCCCTAGAAGTGACAGGGTTAAGTCCCTCCTCTAATGTCATTTGTGCAATTGGCATTTGGGATCTGAGGACAAGTTGAAGTGTATCCCTGTCACAGCTCCACCTGCTAGATTCAACAGGTCATGCATGCCATTTGCGTTTAAAGGTGAACTTATTGGGAACCTAAGGTTTGCTGCTCTTTGCAGTCTGTCTGTCCCTCCAGCTCTGACTCCTCCTGCTCCAGATCCTGTCTCCATGCATGAATGTAGCACATTGCCTTCTGAGTGTCATAGCTCTCACCTAGGGGTGGCCCTTGCTCTCCCCAGAAGCCATCTGCAACAAAGGACGCATGCTACTAAAACTGAAGAAATTGTCTCCACTGACCAATAATTCTCCCGTTTCACCAGCCCAGACCCTTAGGGGGCATTTAGTGATCCCTGGAGACACTGTGGGTCCTTTGGCTGTCATCTGCTCGGCAGGGCTTTCTGATTTACTAAATCCCCTGCACTACTCAGAACACAGAATGTTAAATCAGATGTTCTGATTTACTTGAAAATGTGTTGGGCTTTCACATCTAGCCGGCTCTGAGAGCCCTTGTTATTTTTGTTTTGTTTGTTTGTTTGTTTATTTTGAGCAGGTGTCTGACATTGGTCCACAGAAGATACGAGTGGCATGGTAGCTACAGGCCACCAACTCTGACAGCAACCTCTGTTTACCTCAATACTAGTGCCCTGTTTCATTCTGGGTTGTGATAGGAAATAAAGATATATAAATTCACATGTCACAACATAGAAGGTCTGGCCTCTCAGCCACTCAGGATGGGAAGAGTGAGGCAAAGACATGATTTTCAACAGTGGCTCCGAGTGAGAATGAACTATGGACTTTTTAAAAACTCAGCCAAGAGTGAGGAAGAGCCAGTCAGTACCACCTGGATGTACGCAGCTGCTCTGCCCATCGGAGGGTGCACACCCCCTAACCTGCTATACCAGCTGCCTGAGAAAGGTCCCTCTTACCAGGATCAGGGCCACTTGGGTTTGGAGCATCTATTGGAAAGAATGAGAACATGGTTCTCCCCAAGCCTATCCAGGTGATCTCCAAAAAACTCCTCCAAGCTGAGAATCCTTGGCCTTGAATTCCAAGTGCTCCCTGCCCCAAGGATTTGTGTCATGGAGACTGTGAAGAACCAGTGTCTCTCTTGTATCTCTAGAAGCTCTTATAGAAACAACAGCTGAAGCTAGGTTGTGACCTTTTGTCCCTTCTGCCCCACAGACTGCTACTGTTTGCTGGCCCTGGGCATCCACTAGCTTCCAAGTAGACTGATTAACCTGTTCAGGATCGTTGATTTCAAATGACTTGGCTTATTATGAAAGTAGATGTCCATGCACTTGGTCAGGTTTTGTATTAGTAAGTTTCAGTCTCCACAGTATTTTATATATTGGACTCGAACGAACATCTTAACTCTATCCCAGGTCCCCTCCCATCAGTTAATGTCCACCTGTCTCCGTTTTCTCATGTACCTGGTTTGTTTTGTGTTTTGATACAGTGTCTCTCTATATAGCCCTGGCTGTCCTGGAACTTGCTATGCAGATCTAGCTGGCCTTAGACTCCCAGAGACCCACCTACCTCTGCCTCCTGAGCACAGGGATTAAAGGCAAGCATTACTGTGGCCGGCTTCTTGTACCTATTTTTAACAAAGGATCGAGTTGAACTTTTTTTTAATTTTAAAATGTATTTTTAACATTGCCAGGAATAAAATGTTTCTTTGCATCCTCCCTGCTGCCCAATTCCTGTGTTAAAATCCTAACTACAGGGGCTGGAGAGATTGCACAGCTGTTGAAACCATGTGCCACTTGTACAGAGGACCTGAGATTGGTTCCTAGCACTCACGTGGGTTGGCTCACAACCACTTGCAATTTGAGCTCTGGGTGAATGGGGGGGGGGAATCTGAAGCCTCTGGCCTCCACTAGCCCTGGCATTCTTGTGCACATACCTACACAGAGACACAGACACAATTAAAAATAACATAAATAATTTTAAAAAAACATAGCCCCAATGAGATGGTATAGAACAAAGTGGTATTGGGTCAGGGCTTTCCAAAGTGATTAGATCATGACAGCAGGGTTCTCCTGAGTGGAATTAACACCCACATACAATAGACTCCAGAGACTTCATTCTTCCCCACAAGATGACCTTGGTGTAGATCCAGTGAGCAAGCCTTCACCCTCAAATTTGACAAAAGTTTCATCTTGGACTTCCTCCATTCAGCACTGTGAGATATAAACTCTTGTGGTTTATAAGCCACCCAGTCTATGGCAGCCCACCTTAATAGTCGTTGTGATCAAAGACAACTGAGCATGCCGTGGTAAAAATCCCACACAGCCATAGGAATAGAGTGATTTTAAAACTGGCTCCACTTGACGTAAATGGGTCTTTGAGTAAGACTTTCATGAAGTGTAACCTATGCATGAACACACAAAACACAAGTTTATAGCTCACTGTCTACAAGGTTGGGAGTAGCTCCCAGAAAAATTAAAGAAATAGAAAATCACAGAGGTTCCTTCACACTGTTCCCCAAACATGACCCTACGATTTGTGAATGACTGGATACTGTGTTTTACTTTTCTCTCACTTGTAGCTGTGAGGTTAAGCCAACATGGTGTTGGTATATGAAGTTTAATCTTGTTGACTGGCCTTGGTCAAGTTGGCATGACTCCTATCTTTGGACACCATGGTATATGTTTTACATACACTTTTTGTACACAGGTGGCTATGTTTTGGGGTCTAAGTTAGAGGTTGTCAGTCCATTGCATTTTCTAAGAGGCAGCACCTATTCACACTCCAGCATGGGCGGGTCCAGTTGCTCCGCAGATGAGCATTGGGTATTTCCAGTACTTAACTTTAGCCACGCCCTTGGCTGCGATGCCCCTCATCACTGGCATGCAGTTCACTTACTTGTTCTTATTGTGTGTCTTGTGTTTGTTATCTGTTCTTGTGAAACAAATAGCCACAGACTTGTAAGAACCTGGAGTGCAGACGTGGTTTCAGGGAACATGGGATCAGGATTTGGGGGACTGAGGTATCAATTGGGATTGGATCTTGCCTAAAATATGGACCTGGTGATTCTGCTCTGTGTCCAGATTCAGTTGGTTGTTTCAGACTCTGTTCTTTGCAG